AACCACTTGGTCATGTGTTTGAGGTATTGGCCCTATATTTACGTATACCACACTAATGTTTAAAAATCAATAGGATTTCCTGTATCTCCGATATTTGGCTATATTCGTCAAAGAAATCAGCACCAATGTAAAGGTCAGAGGAGCACCGTTAATGTATTTGTGATTTCGTTAATTTTGTAATTTTTCGCAAAAAATTCTGGTCCGATTCACAAGCTAACTATTATCTGATTCCAAAATGTCAGTCTTCTGCGCTGTTCTAAACTCATAACAAATCCTATGTTTATTTGTCCTTAGTTGAGAACCGTAGGGCGACTGCAAAATTTTGAAAATGTTTATGCATTGGGTCCATTTAAACCGTAAATAAGTTTCGAACATCTTAAACAATAAAATAAATAAAAAATAAAAAATAAAAAATAAAAAATAAAATAAAATAAAATAAATAAATAAAAACAAGTATTTGGAACGAATTAGAAAATATTCAAAAAAATAAAATCCATTGAAAATTCTGTTAAAATCTTTCAAATACCTAATATCGGAAGGTGCCGATATATGGATGGATATACGCTATTCTGGACCTATATAGACAAATCTATGTCTGGGGGTAAAGTGCTCACAAAGAACCCCTTGTGAGGAATTTCAGACAATTCCGTTGAAAAATGTGGCTGAAATCATCAAAATACCGAATATCAGAGGGTACCGCTATATGGGGAATATACGATATCGTGGATCTATACAGACAACTCTTTTTCAGGGAGTAAAGTACTCACAAAGAACTCCTTGTGTGGATTATCAGAAAATTCCGTTGAAAAATGTGGGTAAAATCCTCAAAGTACCGAATATAGGGGAGTACCGTTATATGGGGGATGGATATACGATATTGTGGACCTATATAGACAATTCCGTTTCAGGGGTAAAGTGCTCACAAAGAACTCCGTGTGTGGATTTTCAGACAATACAATTGGAAAATGTGGCTAAAATCAACAAAATACCGAATATCGGGGGTACCGTTATATGGGGGCTATACGTTATCGTTAACCTATATAGAGAATCATCTTCCGAGGTATAAAGTACCCACAAGGAACTCCTTGTGTGAATTTTCAGACAATTCCGATAAAAAATGTGGGTAAAATCATAAAAATACCGAATATCGGGGGGTACCGTTATATGAGGGATATACGATATCGTGGATCTGTATAGACAATTCTCTCTCAGGGGGTGAAGTACTCACAAGGAACTACTTGTGTGGATTTTAAGACAATTCCATTGAAAAGTGTGGCTAACATCATCAAAATACCGAATATCGGGGGGTACAGTTATATGGGGGATATACGATATCGTGGACCTATATAGACAATTCTTTTTGAGGGGGTAAAATGCCCACAAGGGACTCCTTTTGTGGATTTTCAGACGATTCCATTGAAAAATGTGGATAAAATCATCAAAACACCAAATATCGGGGGTACCTTTATATGGGGGCCATACGATATCGTGGACATATATAGATAATTCTCTGCCGAAGTATAAAGTACCCACAAGGAACTCCTTGTGTGAATTTTCAGACAATTCCGATAAAAAATGTGGGTAAAATCATAAAAATTCCGAATATCGGGGGGGTACCGTTATATGAGGGATATACGATATCGTGGACCTGTATAGACAATTCTCTCTCAGGGAGTAAAGTACTCACAAGGAACTCCTTTTGTGGAATTTCAGACAATTCCATTGAAAAATGTGGATAAAATCATCAAAATACCAAATATCGGGGGTACCGTTATATGGGAGCTATACGATATCGTGGACCGATATACCCCATCTTCGAACTTGACCTGCCTGCAGACAAAAGAGAGATCTGTGCAAAATTTTCGTTTTCGTTTAGACTGTAGCGTAATTACAACAGACGGACAGACGGACGGATCGTCTTAGAATTTTACTCTGATCAAGAATGTATATACTTTGTTGGGTCTAAAATCATTATTTCGATGAGTTACAAACGGAATGACGTACTTAATATACCCTCCATACCTTTTTTGGTGGAAGGTATAAAAATGGGCGTCTATTCTTATATTAACCATACCCCATACAAAATTTCGTGAAGATCGAACGATAATTGCTACCCCTAACACATAGTATTGCAAAATAAAAAAAAAAATATTGGAAACAAGTAAACAAATACATGTAACACCCTATAACACTACAATATATTGGAAGCCTTCTTATGTCCAAATTAATTTCAATTTTGAAATAATGTCATGGAGCCCTGCCCAGATGTTACCCTTATTTACGCACTCCACCGTGTTGTTATGTATGTAGGATTACACAATAACTGCAACCTGTATATGAAACTTTCCACACATAGTGTTGGGGGTGTAGCTTTAGAAAAGGTATTATTCAAAATTGTAAGTCATAGTGAAAAAAATTCGTATGCCATAAAAAATAAGACAAAAATTGAAAAAATGTAACAAAAAATATTCAGCATTTTATTGGCATATTTATACGCGATTTTCTTAGATTATATCATTCTTCGGCAAGAGACCATTCCGAATTGATGAGAATTGTGAAAATCAGTTCAGCTGTTCTTGACTTATAAGCGGTCTGACTAACATCCCCTTAATTGATATTTGAGATTGTATATATTTTACTATATATGCAATATTTTAGATATGAGCATCAATGTAACGATCAGAAGTAACATTTTCATGCATTTGTGATTTTGCCACGTTCGGCCGGCCCGAACTTTTTACGCCCCAGGTTGGAAATTGTGACAGAAACTTTGAAAATGCCGTAAATCGGCTATATCAATTAGTGTACCTGAATGGAACATGTTTTGCAATGAAAAAACAGACCTACCGAGAACCCCAATTATCAAGTTTCATCTAATTTGGTTGAAAACTGTGGCAGAAACCTTCAAAATACCGAAAATCGTGAGGTACCGTTGTATGGTACGTGATGTACCGTTATCAGAAGGTAACGTTATGAGAGTTCTATACCAATTAGTGGACCTGTATCGAATATTTTTTGCAAGGATAAAACATATCTACCAAGTACCCCAAATGTAAAGTTTCATCTTATTTGGATAGAAATTGTGGCATAAAACGTCGAAATGCCGAAAATCTAGAGGTACCGATATATGGAGGCTAAACGTAAACCCGTGTAGCCCATTTTCAATTCCAATTCAAAGCTCTATATTAAATAATGTGATTTTAAAAGACATTCCTACGGACGGACATCGATAAATCGATCAAGAATATATATAAACTTTTTGCGGTCTCCGGCGAATATTTCGAGGAGTTGCAAATATAATATATCCTCCATTGTATGGAGGAGGGTATAAATATATCAGAAAATATTTAGGAAAACATATTTACATTTTTAATAGCGATTTTTCCAGATTTTATTCGACACTGCCAAAAGGTCATTCACGCAAACACACATAGCTAGATCGCCTCAACTCGGCGAGGTAGAATGATCCATATGTGTCATGCTATGTCTTTGAGCAGTATTTCGATGTCTTATATAATACTTGGCCCAATAAAATTTATAATACCCCACCCCATTTGCGGAGTATAAAAACTAATTTTTGACTAAATGAGCAATATGACCTAATTTGAAACAAGTTAAAAAGCCCTCCACCATTTGGAACGAATTTGGAAATTAAATCCTGAAAAATTTTTGGTAAAATTTTAAAAATACCGAATATTGCCGTTATATTGGTGTCTATACGACGTGGACCCACACAGGCATTATTTGTCATGAGTCATTACCAAATTCAAATTCGCAACTTGAAATAAACGCGAATAATGTAGCTAAAATCATCAAAATATAGAATATAGGGAGGTACCGTTATATCGGAGCTGTGCGAAGACCTGAACCTGCGTAGACAATTTTTTGTCATATTCTGTAGCATCCATTACGAACTTCAAATACGACATTTCAAACAACTTCGGTGAGTATTGTACCTAAACTCGTCAAAATACCGAATATAGGGAGGTACTGGTATATGGGGCCTATACGAAGACCTGGACCTGCATAGACAATTTTATGTCAAAGACTGGAGTTTCCATTACGAACTCTAAATGCGTAATTTGAAAAAATTTTGGTGAATAAAGACGCTAAAATCATCAAAATACCTAATATAGGGAGGTACCGTTATATGGGGGCTATACGAAGACGTGGACCTGCACAGACAATTTTCTGTCTTAGACTGTAGTATCCATTTCGAACTTCAAATACCAAATTTGAAACTATTCCGGTGAATAATGTCGCTAAAAACATTGAAATACCGAATATCGGGAGGTACCGTTATATGGGGGCTATACGAAGACGTGAACCTGCACAGACAATTTTCTGTCTTAGGCTGTAGTATCCATTACGAACTTCAAATACCAAATTTGAAACAATTCCGGTGAATAATGTCGCTAAAATCATCAAAATACCGAATATCGGGAGGTACCGTTATATGGGGGCTATATGAAAACGTGGACCTAAATGGCCCATTTACGAACCTCACCTGCCTACTGTAAAAATAAACCTGTGTGCAAAATTTTAGCCTTGATAGCGTGATTACAACAGACAGACGGACATCGCTACATCGACTTAGAATTTTACGCTGATCAATAATATATATACATTGTTGTGTCTGACATGAGTATTTCAAGGAGTTACAAACGGAATGACAAAGTTAATATACCCTTCATAGTATGGTGGAGGGTATAAAATGTTTAATTTTGACAACAATATTTGACAACAAAATCTGAAAATTTAACATATAAACAAATTTTAAATTTCCTGCGTAAGAGAAATATACAAACAACAATCGTTAAGCCCTTGACCGATGCTGGCAGAACATATTTAAACTCTAAATCGTTGCACATACACACACATAAACGTACATCTATGCTTTCTTGCTACTATTTAAAAGAAAACGGAAGTTTAAAATATATCTCTCTATGTATGTATATTGGTGTGTGGATGAGATGTATTGAGTAAAGTGAGTTACTTACCTTGCAGCAAACAACAAATAAGTACGAAAACTCGTGTATCAAAGGAGAGATTCATTTTCTCAGCATAATCCTTGTGCAAAGTGTTATTTCTGCTGTTGACGTTGTTCGGAGAGTTTTTCGGGTAAGTAGCCCAGCTGCAATTGTGTCTATGGTTCCCTATTTCTGTTGCTGTTCTTTCGTTAAGTTTAAAATGGTTTTACGTTCAATGTTACTGGGGGAAATAAAATTGCAGGGAGGAACACTTGATTTGATATTCTATATATATCTTGATTGGTTGTTATGTGTTCGAATCTGCAATTATTGAATCGCATTGGTTTATCCTAGTTTTATATTAATTTTGCAATTCTCTTGTGTGGGTGTGTTTTGTTATCCTTTGTGGTTAATAGTTATTTCATTAAACCAATCCATTGACTTCCACAACCAAACATGACTTATCTTTCACAAAGCCATGCAAATAGTAGTCGATGGTTTTTGAATGGGTGGTAGAGGTGGTTAACGAATTGATTTCTTCTCTTTTTTCTTTGGTTCGATAGGTAAACATATTCTCTTCTATTTTATTGTGCGTAAAATTACAAATTGATATGTTGAATACTGATATGACAGTCTTTTGCTTACTTAAAATATCTGCCTGCTCAGAATGCCACTAGCAAGGAAAGCAGATTTGATTTTTATTATTTCTCAAAGGCAGCTCTTTGTCGATACAGAAATGCTGACTTAAACAAATTTAGAATCTTCTTCACCTGTTTATTGCTGGTATGCATGGATTCTCTTTTATTCGGAACTTTGTGTGCTGTGCGACCGCCCTCAAGGCTTATGAAGCTTGGTAGTCCGTCCTATTGTTCATTCATTCTGGTTTCATTCTCAATTGGTTTTTGTTGTTATTCTTTTATAACCATAAATCTCATCTAGATTTTGTTGCAGATCTTCTACTCCTTTTCATTCTGCACACACACTTGCTTACGCACACACAAATACATATGTGATTGGTTTATTTTGTTTCATTTGTATTCAAAGACTTGAACAGAATTTCGTTTTTTTTTTTTTGTTATTCTGGCCTGTGGCATTCGTTTATTTGCCATTGTTTAGCAAATTTTCATTTGCTATGTTTCATTGATATGTTATTGTTGTTCTTGTCCTGTACTAATTCTGTGTGCGAGACCAGGTGACCGACGACCGCTGTGATATGACAATCATTCACGTTCACTTGTATTTATTTTTAATCTGAAAATAAATTGATTTTTTGTTGGTATTAAATATTAATGAATACAAAAATAGCTTTGGGATAGGAAAAAAATGTTCTCTATATTCTTATTTTGTTTTATAATATTCATGACATTTGTACTTATTGATTTATAGTGAGATTTAAATTTTGTATGTGAAATACATAGCGTTGCTATTTCAATATTTCAATAAATTTATATAGAATATTAACATTTCCAATTAAATGAAATCAATGAAATGCACATAAAACAACAACTCACGATATAATAAACGGATTTGGCATAAAACTTTGAAATTATATACGAAATGACATGATTCAATTATACAAAATTAAAATAATTTTGATGGTATTTGGAGGTATGCATTCATTATTAAGACAAGAAATTATTGATTATTCAATATTGAACATTACAGATTCAATGGCAATTGTCACAACTCAAAAAAAGTAGTTTTTGCTCAAAAAACTGTGTAGCATTGAAATTATGATTTCCGACACCTGGGATGTATTTTAGAATTACTGAAAAGCTTAAATATTTGAAAAAGAACAACTAATAAAGCTATAAGTTTGAACTTTGAATACCCTCCACCATTTGGAACGAATTTGACAATTTTCAAAAAATAAAATGCTAATGTAGCCGTTATGTTAGGCATATACGGCGACGTGGACCTTCATTCGCAACTTTTGTCATAAGCCATTACAATATTCAAATGCGAAAATTGGAAAAAAATCGATGAATAATGTAGCTAAAATCATAAAAATACCGAATGTAGGGAGGTACCATTATATGAGGGGTATACGAAGATGCGGACCTGCACAGAACATTTTCTATCAGAGATATCCATTACGAACTTCAAATACCAAATTTGAAACAATTCCAGTGAATAATGTCGCTAAAATCATCAAAATACTGAATATGAATTTAGGTATATGGGGGCTATGCGAAGGCGTGGACCTGCACAGACAATTTTCTGTCATAGGCTGCAGTATCCATTACGAGCTTCAAATATCAAATTTGAAACAAATCCGGTAAATAATGTCGCTATCGGGAGGTACCGTTATATGGGGGCTATACGAAGACGTGGACCTACATGGCCCATTTTCATTTTCCTGCAGACATAATACACATTTGAGTTAAATGTTATCAATCTACTTTATTTCGTTCGGAAGCTAGAGTGACATCGCTAAATCGACTTAGCATTTTATGCTGATCAAGAATATATATACTTTGTGGGGTCTAAAATGTATTTATAGACTTGTTACTAACGAAATGACGAACTTATTATACCCTCTATACTATGGTGGAGGGTATAAAAACACAAGTCAAAAAGTTTTAGTCGGTTTGGTCGATAATAATATTACTAAGTTCCAAGTTTGCTACTTTCTGTCTCTTCCTTTCTTGTGTGCACAAACAGATTGATGGACAGATGGACGGATACCGCTAGATCGATTTATATATAGCTGCAAATTCCTAGTAAAATATTCACAAATCTTAGTCAGAAAATTTGTGAAAAATATGTCAAAAATAAAGACTATAACTATTTTTGACCACAATATACTTAAATATCGTACCACCTGTTCAGGGTTTGAAGAACATTTGCAAAAGAGCAAGAGGTGATTAGGATTTGTGAGATTTCTTACCTTTTTTAGGGAGGTGCCAGACCTAAGTTTGACATACATAATATCACAGATGAAATTCGGGTACTAGATTCATTGGAAATGAGACTATCCGAGACTAGATCCGTTCCGCGTTGCCGCATTGAATTAAATATTGCATAGACGTTTGCATCGCTTAAGCTATATTTGTTAGTATATTTTTCGGTTCATTGAAGGATTAGTCCATTAAATCTGTAGTAATTTCTAAATATAGGAGATTCAATATAGGTTAGCGTATATGTCTGCTTTTAGAGTTTTAATTTTCTGACCATATTTTCCAGGTAACATGGCATATTGATGCAATTTTGGTCACTCATACTGAAATTTGATGGGGATTTTTTGTCTTTGACGTCATTCTACTAATATTACTCTTTGTTAGAGATTTTTGTACGAACCCACATGAAGCACGAACTTAAATTAAAAATGGTTGTTTTTGATATGTATTTGACGTTTCCTAAGACAAACATATAGTAGAATTTTATGAGAAATAATATTATAGAAATTGTATACGATCCCGTTTAAAGGGAAATCGGATTCAGGATATGTATGGGAGCTGTAGCTATATCTCAAGATGAATTTAGTCGTAATTGCCAAAATTCAGTCCCTTTGGAATGATAGTATCTGTTGTCCGATACCAAATATAATTCTTTTGGCGTGCATATTATGCATGTGAGGGACTTTAAACCCCAAATCAGATGAAACATATATATGGGTGCTATAGCTACATGTGAACCGATTTTCTCCAAATTTGATTTATTTACTTCTAGACTGAATTCGGTGGGATGTACCAAATTACAGGTCATTTGGACTTATATTAGCCATTTGGTGCACGATTATCGCGAAATCGGTTGAAGATATATGGAAGCAATATCTAAATCTTATCCGATTATCACAATAGGGTTTGTCCTTGGGCCAAACAAATATTGCTTGGAAAATTTCATCTCAATAGGATAATAAATTCGACCTGCATTTTGTTCACAAGGATACATGAACGTATACATAGGCGGACTGAAATACATAAATAGACTCAGAAAGTGATTATATGAAGATCCACGGAAAGACTAGCGGAAACACGTAGTTTCAAGTCAAAAAGAAATAAAATGGTTATACTAATACTGGATCTCCTACTGCTTAATATATAAGCAGGTTTTTAGCATATGGATATCCGCAATACAAAAACCAGTAAAGAAAGTCTTAAAGTCGGGCGGGGCCGACTTTATGTTACCCTACACCACTTTGCTAATTTAGTAGAGCTCCACATAATAATTAAAAGTTTTTATGGGAGAATTCAATCATACACGCTATGATTGTAATTATAACTTAAAGTTCAAAGGACTTAATATGCCGAAGCATTTATATCTTTTAAATTCGGAATTTTATTGCCCATTTGGTGCACAATTAATTTGAAATCGGATAAAGATATATACGGGAGCTATATCCAAATCTGAACCGATCTCGATAAAATTTGGCAAAGATATTTCTGAGCTGTATTTGATATATTTCCCTGAATATCGTTGTTACGGAGTGCATATTACGGTTGTGGGTAACAAATATAACAAATCGGATGAATAATATATATGGAAGCTATAGCTATATCTGAACCGATCTTCACCAAATTTGACATACTAGCTTCTAGACTCAATTCGGTCGTAAGTGCCAAATTCCATCCCATTTGGGCAAATATTAGACGTTTGGTGCACAATAAATGGTAAATCGGACGAAGTTATATATGGGAGCTATATCCAAATCTGAACCGATCCCGATAAAATTTAGCAAATGTATTTATGAGCTGCATTTGATATATTTCCCCAAATATTGTTGTTGCAGTATGCATATTATGGCGGCGGTGGACAAAAATAACAAATCGGATGAAAAATATATATGGGAACTATAGCTATATCTGAACCGATTTCGATCGAATTTGGCATACATATTTTCAGACCTAATTTGGGTTAATATGCAAAATTCCATACAATTCGGGCTGATATTACACGTTTGGTGCACAATACAAGGCAAATCGGACGAAGATATATGTGGGAGCTATATCTAAATTCTGACCGATTATCTCCAATTTCAATAGGGTTCGTCCTTGGGCCAAACAAATGATCTGTGCAGAATGTCATCTGGATCGGGCAATAAATGCGAACTGTACTTTGTTTACAAAAATACATGGACAGACGGACAGACGGACGGACGGACATGCATAAATCGACTCAGAATGTGATTCTATGCAGATCATCAAAAGGAACTATGGGTCTATCTCGTTTCCTTCTGCCTGTTACAAACAAATGCACAAAGACATAATACCCTGACCACCTTGTGGTGTAGGGTATAATCATCATTGGTTGGTTTAGTGTGGTATGTATTGAACAGACGTTAATTCGAGCCTTCCACAGTAAGCGAAACTTCACTTTTGGCCAAATGCACACTTTGAATTTAATGTACAGCCTATTTTCGAAATAAGTAATAACAAGTAAAAAAGCTGTTAGTTCGGCTGGGCCGAACTTTGAATACCCTCCATCATTTGGTACAAATTTGGAAATTTTCAAAACAATAAAATCCGTTAAAATCTTAAAAATACCGAATGTAGCCGTATATTAGGGTCTATACGACGAAGGGGACCTGCATACACAACACAAGCTATTACAATATTCAAATAAAAAACTTGAAAGGAAATCTGTTTATAATGTAGCTAAAATCATCAAAATACCGAATATCGGGAGGTACCATGGGGGTTATAAAACGTCAAGTATGAAATGTGAAATAATTGCGGTAAGTAATGTCGCTAAAATCATCAAAATACCGCATAACGGGAGGTACCGTTATATGGGGGCTATACGAAGACGTGGACCTACCTGGCCCATTTTAAATACCAAAAGTCCTGCAGACAGAATACATATTTGAGTTAAATTTTATCAACCTACTTTATTTTGTTCGGAAGCTAGAGTGATTTCCTCAGACGGACGGACACTCCTAAATCGACATAGAATTTTATGCTGATCAAGAGTATATACAGGGTTGCCCATATTCGACGGACCCATGACTATTTGAGCCCATTCCAATCGACGAGGCTTGTCCGCAGGCAACATTCTTTGCGTCAATTTAATTTTGTACGGGAACAAATGCAAATCAATGCGAATAATACGTTGTAAAGTGGACCGAGCCATGGCCCACTGCTGAGAACGGCGTTTTTGTGATGTTCTTTGGGACCTCTCAACACTGGCTCGTACGGCAGCGATATTCTCGGCCGATCGCCTTGGTCGACTTTTATATGGCCTCTTCGGATTAGAAAA